ATGAAATTAACTGCACATTTTTTATATTACATGGCATCTTTGAAACTCAGTCGAGTATAACTAATTCTTATTAAACCGTTATGAACGGGAAGTTTTTTATCCTTTTTTGGCGTGCACGTTCAACGATATTGGAATAACTACCGAATATAACACCAGGTTTGATTTACTACAATATGTGAAATACTGGCGGCATAAAGGTCTAGCTTAACGATCGGATAGTTTCATGAAAACATTTCGCTCCTGAAACACGGAACGAGGCCACAGTTCTTTGGCAAATTAAGTTTCTACATATTTAATGACAAAGTTTGAAAGTTTGTATAATAAATATATATAATATAATAAATAACACTTTTTAACAAAAACTTAACCGAGTTCAAACAGCCAGTAAACTAATTAGAAAAAATAATAATCGACTTCGCACAAAGTAATACGTATTTTAATTTAGTTAAATAGAGATGATTAGATAAATAATTTTATAACATCATTTTAAAGTCAGTCACATTTTATTAAACTTTGTAGCACTACATCTACTTTCCAATAAAAAATTATCATCAAAATTGGTTCATAAAACAAAGTTATCCTAACAAACATAGACAAGTATTGACAAAATTTTTTTTTCAAGTAGTTAAAAATGGTTTAAAACATCAGCACGATACGCAAACTGTTGCGGGTTCTAATCAAGTGTGTGTAGTTTTTTTTAACTATATTATATCTTTTGTGTTGTCTGTCGTTTACAAGGAGTAACTTTTTATCAGTTGCCCTATATGTTACTTGAATTCGGTGTCACCATTAATCGTTTGAAAATCCATTAACAACGGAAACTTCTAAATGACTCGACTAAGCACATATTACGTATAATACGAGCTATTAAACTTTCAAAGTCACGTTTGCGTTATAAGTGGATGGTACATTTTTGATGCGACGACAGGGACTGGTGGCAGAGCCAAACTTTGTGGGCTTTATATTACACGCGACTACAACGCGGAAAACATAAATAAAGGACAAAGGACCGGCCATGTGCGAGTCGGATTTGCGCGCGAAGGGTACCGTAGCATTGACTAGAACACTACATACGTAAATAAAATACTTTTAATGGTTTAAAACGCGAACTTCAACTACGGTTTCCGACGTTTCGGTTGCTTTGCACCAGCCATGGTTACAGGGGGACTAAAGATGGAGGGTTTCCCTAGTGTCAAAGTCAAATCGGCCAAGATAGTGCCATTTGCAGATTGTTATGACTTATATTTCGGGTTTGAACCGTCAAAAGAGTTTTATTTAAATGTGTACTACTCGCGTAAACTACTGATTATAATTAAGTACATAACATTCATTCTAATGAAAATGAGAAGAGTGCTCTCCTTAAATATTTATTTAATTTTAAGTAATAAAATTAAAATGTCACTCTAAATACAAGGCTAAGTGTTGCCATAATCAGCCAAACACATCGCGTTTTTGTGCAGAGGTAACAGACAATTTTGTGAAAATTATAATTCTCTAAGTATGACAATTTTTATACGCTTAACACACCACAAAGTAAAGACTTAGTAACATGCTTTTTACCTTTCAGGTACGGAACCCTACAGAACGCCACCGAGGAGTACAGTGTAAGTTACTTTTTTATTGACGATATAAATTATTTTTTGGCTTTTCTTGTTACTTGTGCAAACGTATGTATTTATTATCTTTATATTATATGACTTTCAAAATCCCGTTAAGCATGTGCAATATATAGATCTACGATTTTTTGACAATTTAGTTGTTCAATTTGGTTCGCTACAAAATAATTGAATTTCGTATATAAGTCTCCCGAAACTGTAAAAACTGTTCAAACCTAATACATATACAGATCGAGTCATTAAGAAAGTAATGTAGTTCGCTCTAAGGTGCATAGTGTAATTAATTTTTGGTATTATTATACTAGTACGTAATTTGAAAGTGGTGAGACCCGAAATCACAAATGAAAACCTGTATCACGACTCCTTTTAGTAAGGGCATAAATCAAAACGTACATCAAAGATCAGTTTTATTCTTAAGTCAAGAGTGACACACTGACTGTTGTAGCTAAGTAACAACAGTCAGTATGTCCTCTAGACAAAACAAAGTTTTAATTGCTATATCATAATCTTTATTCAGATTCATTATTTTGGAAAAACAATTATTACGTTATTTTAACAGTTTATATAAGAGAAGTTTATTATATTTTATAACTATAGTTTTTTCCAATAAATTGTCAAAATTAATAATTAGTTTTGAAGGTAGGTTAACTGCTTGACGGACCAATTATGACAGTATATAATAATATTATCTGGGTTATGGGAACCCGTAACGCAAGGCAGCCATTTAAATTAAATCTGCAGATGGAGCTAGCGTGGCAGATTCGACTTTGACATAATGTACACCCTCCCTTCAGTCCCCTCGGAACCACGGTTGCTTCAAAACATACGAAACGTTAGGCTATAGTGAAATTAAATTAGAAACAAATTAACTTCTATTTATATTTCTATATTATTTGAATCTAATAAATAAATAAATAAAATTTCGCAACTATCCATTGAAAGCGTTTTATTTAATTGTGTACTACTCGCCTAAACTACATACAATACCCAGCGAGATGATGACGCCACAATCGTACATACTTACCTACCGCGTAGAACTTAGTTGGCTATATATATGTATCTAAAAACAATTCAAACGTAAGTCTCAGAATCTATAATCTACTTAAAGACTACTTACTAACCAATAAACCATACCAAAGTTACTCTGAGACTTTGACTTGAAACTAACCCAAAGTATAGATGTCATTACCATTTTGTAACCATTCTAAAAAACCAAACATTGAGGTTTTAATAAAAATGGTTTAAAGTAGGACTACAAATTTGACGATTGGCCCACTTAGAGTAATCTCGTTTGTGTAAGCCTAAAAAGCTTCGGATTAAGCATGATTGAGAACTAAGCTTTACCTGGTTTCAATAGAGCACATTTTCCCCTACACCTGTTATATAAGACTTTTTGATTTAAATGTGGGAAATAAAACAGCAGGTGGAAGTTCTCTTCATCCTTATTAGGAAAATGAGTTTTTATGCCTTTGAAATGCAAGACGGCGGGCCATAGAAAATCATAAAAGGTAATGCTATAATAAACGTCTATATGATATAATCTTTATTCTTCAAATGAATTTATTAAAGGAAAGAATACATATTTAAATAAAGTACTATAACGTTCAAAACGTAATATATATTAGGTTAATTAAACTTATCGCGTTTTAAACCGTTAAACTGTTTTATTTAAATGTGTACTACTCGCGTAAACTATAGACATTATTTGAGAATACATATATGTAGTTATAACAACTATGAGAAATAACAAATATTTTTCTTTTTGCGCTCTGAGTATTTGATAAATGAGGTCTGTTCTTGTAACGGAATACGAAATACATATAAAGAACAAGCGATAATAATATAAGATAAATAAACTCTATGTTTATAATACGTATGTATATATAAGACATGAGTTTATCTAAAAGGATACGCATGAAATTATAGCCTCTTGAGTCGTTGCATTTACAAGTAGTGACAATTGTGTGTCCGCACACTTATCTCAGATTTTTTAGATAAGTAACAATATTTTGCTGTGATTATTTTTGCTGCACACGTTAAGCACAATGAGCCACAACGGTTAAATATCGGAAAAGCAGTACTAAGTGTGTGCTAAAAAAAACATTCAAATTTATAACTTAGTATCGCAGAAAAAATGCAGACAATATATTTTTTTCCACAACACAGCAATAGAAAATACTGTAATTTTTCTCAAACAGCATTATTGAGTATATGGACATCTTTTTTGATTATTAAAGACGAATCATACTTTTCTGCAATAAAAAACTCTAAAAATCTACTAAGAAGACGAATTATTTTTATGGTTACAAACGCACACTTACTACCAACTACTGTTAAAACTACTTAAAATATGTTTCTCTAATGGCTATGTAAATGATGTATTTACGGGTGCGTATACAAACGTAAAATTAAAATAATTATTATATTATAGGGGGATATTCTTGTTATCAATAAATACGTCCTTTGAACCAGGGAAAACGTGGACCTAGTACTGTGTTAGGCACAAGATATCGTGGGTTTGAATTTCGTTCGCATTCCTTTTGAAATGTATGTAATTACACGAAAATAAAAAACCTTTTCGACTTCATTCTTACGCAAAAATGGCCTTTTAATTTATTTTCAGTGATTCGTGAAAAACGGCCTAATCACCGAGAATTAATTAAAGGCTTTGAGGCACGTTATACAACAGATTGGAAAAATAAATAATTATAGTTATGAATACCGAAAGTAGGTTACGAGTATTGATTAAAAATTCTCTTGCGTTGAAAAATCTGAGTTACGCCGAAGAATTGTAGCCAGTGATTTATGTTACAAACTACGAAGCCACAGTAACTTTAAATTACAAATTATGCTACCTGAATGGTTCTTGTTAAACATTTTAAGTTAAAACGACGGTTTTTTAACAATACGGTCTGTGTGTCTTGCATTTTCCTAAACATGGAATAAAATAAAATTTTTGATTCTACATTTATATGTCTTTATTATTATAGCAATAACTCCCAGAAGGTGTACTATAATCCAAAGCTAAAAAAGCTTGACAGCGCATCGCCCCTCATGAATCTCATGCTTGTTCTCCTCAATCCTATAAAAAAATCCTTTTAGAATTAGGGATAACTTGTCTTCATTTGTAAACAGAGTAAGACGACCATAGGATTCTCATAATGTAGGCTATACCTCAGGTATATATCATCTCGACAAGACTCATTATAACTAATATCAAATTATTATTATGACTTAACGATCTAACCATCCACTTAACACGCAGATGTGTTAAAGTTTTATAAGAAGGATAAAATGTTTGTACGAACAAAGTTGGACCCAGTGAGAATCGAACTCGCGTACCCTTAATTGTGTGTATATTGTAAGCTACATAGCTCAGTTTACCTGTATATAGGGACGTCGTCCTTATACCAGACGACAAGCAACAGAGCGTCAGGTGGCTGGGGCGAGCGAGTATCGCAGGGTAGTGTCGCTTCGCCTCCTGACACCGCTGACAAGTTGACTGCGTCTAGCGACTCCGCCCTCACACTTGGTCCCGGTCGTAGACCTGCAAGATTAACACTATAATGATGTCGCGAACATAATTTTTAGCAAAATGTGATTATGGGTTGTAATTTTTAACCGTTTAAAAAGCGAAGTTATTATTTAGTTAACTTCTTTCTTTTTTGTATAACAGTGGCTGCTACGAAGCATCCGAACCGTCGGGCTGAAGTTAAAATAATTGTTGGTTAACTTTCACGTTTTAAACCGTTAAAAGTATTTAAATCAGAGACTCGTTTAACCTAGATATTAAATATAATTGCTATTATTACTGGCAATGTAATTTTATACTAAAATAAAAAAAAGCAAAAGCTCAGATTGTCATTTTAACAATATTTGTTAACTTCGGTAAAAGTTAAGAAAGCGGGTTATTATTATTAGCGTATTTTCCTTTAAAAAATCTTACTAATTATTAAATGTAATATCTTTGTATGCAAAAACGGTATTATATAAACGTCAATTGTGGTAAACAACATCAAGTTACTAGTACGAGTAGTAGCTATAACTTTTAGTACATTTGTAATGTGTAACATCGTACTTAATCCTGTTTTTTAATTAAATTCTATTAAGGATATTAAAGTAATTCCATTATCATCATTATTTGAGGTTGGACTATCAAGCGATCTGACCAGGCCAAACTAGAGCGCCCACTTGCGAGCAATTTGGCAGCCTTATCTTACTGTGCTTCGTGACATTTGCTGCAAACCAGATAAGCGCCATGTGTAGCTTTTACTTGTTATCTATTTTCCCTGCTAACCTTTTCTCATTGTGTTTTGCTTATTGTCATTTGTAATTTAGCCACTACCACACATGGTTTGATCGCAACATACAGTACTTAACTTATTCTTGATTGCGCTGCGACGTTACGGATGTAGCAACCGAGGTGTCATGTTAATAATCGGGTTTTAAACCGTTTTCTAAGAATCGTTAAATGTGGTAAAACAATATTTCTACGTACCGTTTTGGTTTACGTGAATATTGTATCTATACATTTAAAGGGTTAAAAGTTAACCCTCAAAAGTACCCGTTAGTTTCTGCATATAACGTCTACGAGGAAACGGTGACGCTAGTGGAGTTTACTTTTAAGTCATATAAAATAAAATCTAAACAATTAAAAGTGTTTTCCACTATGGCTACAAAGCATCTGAAATATCAGACCGTAGTTAAAATACACTAAAAATAAGTTAACTAATGTATTCCACGTTTAAAACCATTTAAAGGGTTTTATTTGAATGTCTGGCAATGCCAAACCCGAATAGCATATGCGTGTAACAAAGCAACAAAACACATTAGAGTTCTTAGCACTAAAAAATCTCTAGACCAAATCTAATTAGTGGCAAAACAGAAAAGTTAGTTTTATTCAAACGATGACGACGCTGGCTATATAATTATATGATGCATGTTCTCATGCAACGGTCTGATGTCGCGTGTGCTATAAATCATGTAAATGAGGATTGTAATTTTATACAAATACCGAGTATTGTTATAAAAATCGGTTTCGTTACCATCACGACGTTCGTTACGATTTGGGTACGACTTAATAACGTCTACCTTATACTAGAAATTACTCGAACGTGGTAGACAGCTATAAAAAGAACCACCATTAAATTTCCTATAAACTTTTCTAGAGCCTAAGCTCGTGACTCTGAGTTCGTGGCATTCTCATGAACGTTGTCTTTTGGGAAACCACTTAAAATACAACGCACGACCTGTCCTTCCTTCTAAAACATAAGTTCTTTATCTTGTTTTTAAAGTAAATGAATTCTTTGTTTGGGTCAAACAAAACACATCAGTTAAAAATAGCTGTATAGTTACTAACAATATTATGAAAAATCTTTACTTACTTATTACAAAAGTTACTGAAATCTATATAATTGCGTCGAATAGTTTCAATGCAATACAAAAGACTTTTTATAGGGCGCGTACTGATTTCCGAAGCACATTTTACATTATGATGAAAAAAGTGTAAATAAATGGTTCTTTAAATAGATATAATATCATTGCTACTCTTAATGTACTTTTAGACTACTAAGACGATATACAAACACACCTTTCTGTTTCCTTTTTCATGTCTTTTGTATCCTGTGATTTCCTCTTATAGAATTGTATATTATGTTTATTTGAAAGCAGTTTAAAGGTAAATATTATTATTTGACAATAGATTAAACGGGAAATATGCTATTCGACTCCTTAATTGAAATAGAGTTATCGTAACAGAAGTCAAGGCAACCGGAAATCCTATGAAATCGGTCGTGTAATTCGAGTCGTTCTTTCACAGTGAATAGCAAGCGCCATCGTGACAAATGGTCCGATTAACAATCCCGTTTCCGAAGAAGATGGTTCGAATAACGAGCTAATATATCAAAGGATTTTAGCGCTAACGAAACTCAGACTTTGCGCCATGGTGGAGCGAACTGCTTTCCTTACTACTTGTTTATTAGAGAAAACAGACAAACACGAGCTTCACTTGGTAGATGAAATGCTTTGGCCATATGAGATACGAGCTGTGTCAGCGACTTTATTCGCGAAGAATAGTTATTTTGCGTATCAAAATTTGTTTTTGCAAATCTAGTTTTTATCTTTATAAATTTCAACTGTTACCCACGACAGTCGTTTTCTTCATATTTCCCCCATGGTCCTTCGCACTTATTAGTCGCAGCGCGATGTTTTACAGCGTTCCTCCATAGTTATTTTTGAATTCCCACCAGTTGTTCCTGAGGTTAGCGTTTTCAAATAAACAAACGAACTCTTAAGCTTTATATATACTTAGTTTAGATATACGATATCGACGACCAATTTTGGTTTTAAATATTCGGTAATCTAGAGACTGGAACGCGGTGAAACTTTGCTCTTTCTCATTTTTGGATTGCACCTTTCCTCCAGATTTCCCAGACATATTTTAGACAAGTGACCACGACCAGTTAAATTATAGCAATACTTGATAAATGTTGGTATTTTCTACTTATACTTTAAGAAAACTGCGTGAGATTCAACATGTTTATGATTAATACTTATCACAATTCAAAACCAAGGACGAATACATGTTAGGTAACAAGAAATTATATCATTAATTTTAATTAACTATAATTATCACCAATTGTCTCTAAATCAAGGTTTATAGTTCAATAAATTAAATTTGTTTTCTAACTTGTTTTTTAGCCCGTCGTAATTAAAAAAATCGTCGTTTGGTGTCATTATGAAAAAATTATGTAGTTCTAGTTACGAAGGCCTACCTATTCAAGGCCCAAGCTGTGTTGCGTATACACATACTTAAATAGACACTTTTAGCTGTTAAAAATATGAAAAATATAAATAACGTATTTTGTTAAATTAATATTATTTTCGTTTTAAAACTGTTAAATGCGTTATAATTAAATGTATAGTACTCACGTAACTGCAGACAATACTGTATACATATATTTGGTTAAAAATACACTTTACGTTTAGTTAACGTTAGGTCGGTGTCTAGGAAGTTTCAATATTGGGGTATTGGGACTTATAGGATCGATTAGTAAACGTCCCAGACTCCCTCTATCTCTCGAAACACCTAACTTCTTTTGAGCACAACTTTAATTTTCCGACGTCGTAAAACACACAGAAGATACGAGTACGTGCGACATACGAACAAGTTTTACGAGCAAACATTGAAAACAACTGTTCGTGCGACGTGACGCGAGATGTGAATAGATACAATTGTTTTAGGATTGGTATTGATGGGTGAAAACGTGCCGGGCCAACTGGCCCGCTTATAAAGACGTACCGCGTGATAGTTGAATATTAGATCGTTGTCAGGCCAAGTTATTTGCAAAGCCATGCATTCAATCCACTGTAGCAGCTTAAATTTCTAAAAAAAATTACTTTTAATACCATTTGTAGTTTACACGAGTAAAACACAGTTACGTAAAAGACGGTTTAGCGGTTTAAAACGTGGAATATATATGTTAAATTACTTTACGATCCGACGTTTTAGATGCTAAGTAGTAGTTTTAGTAGCTAAGTAACTGACCAGCTAGGGACTGAGATCTTTCCTGTTACGGCACGTGTATAAATTTCTGTGAACATCATGAATTAAAGAATAACCATATATTTTTATGAGTTATAACTAAAAGACTATATTCAAAACATAAAAAATACATTTCTCAAACGCCAACATTATATCGGAAGTGTTTATAAAAAAGTTGTAATAATGTTCACGGTAAATGTTAAATGATACAAAACACTAGATGCGATAAACATCTTAGATACACGCAGACAAGCAGAGCCCTCAAATTGTGTATTTTAATTTTATTCAAGGCTCGACGCGAAGTCAGCAATATAGGCGGTTGCCGCAAAGTTGGGAGTTGGGAGCACGTTCGATGTTAAAACTGTTCGCGCCCTTACGTGACGAGGAAATAATCCTTCCCTCGGTGTATGTGCCTCGATGACGTAACAAACACTATATTTTACTGTGTAGGCGTTTCTTTGAGAATACTTAAATTTAATGTTGGCAATGTATGGCAAATATTCAAGGAATCGTGAGTTCGATCTCTACTGGTTTCACCAAGTTTTTTATTAAATTATATTTTTTTCTGAAACGTGTTGCAAACCTGGAACATTAAATGCTGGTAGGAATTTCATAATTCCGTTCGTGTGATGAACCGCCATCCACAGATTAAAAGAGGTGAAATTTAGATTTGTTTCGATTGTAGTCAATGGACATCATGTTTAGATGTTATACGGCTAAATCTATTTAGAAAAAAACGACATAGGCGGGACTTGAACCGACATCCACAGCGTTGCGTGCTGCTACTTTAACCAACTGACCTATCGTGTTATATTGTAGTTATTAAAGCTCATGCTTTTAAAAAATATATAAAATTTAATATGTTTAATGCACTGGCTCGCTGGTCAAATGCTGACAATGTATCAAATAAACCTTGGAAATTTTTAAAAAAACCACTCTTTAACTTGCTATGTTAAAAATGATTTTTAACTTCGCCAGACTCATTTTGCAGCAGCCTGGAACCGTTGTGTTTTATGTAGGCGACTCCTAAACAAAAAATATAGCTTGAACTTATTCGTCCACCTCTCTAATTAAAGCAAATTGGAAAACGCCTTCTCGGAAATCTTTGTTCAAATATTGCCGCGTATATAAAGCTCTCGGCATATGCAATGCATGCATAAAGAGTACAAAGCGATAGTTTTCATTAAAAATGACATTGGGACGCACATATTTCACAGGGAAACAATTGGACGCCAGGCGGACGTAAAATGTCTTGAATAGAGAAAATTGCAAACAACTCGGCGTTATTTTTATTACAATTGAAACTGGGAAGAATTGTGGACTAACCCTAACTTATCAACGTGATTTGTGAGCGTAACAGTTTGGAGTCAAATAACGTTCAAATTGCCTATCTCTAAGATTTGTGCTGTTGTAGAATATAATCGGTTGAGAACTTTGAACGTACATGTCTTTGAATTTGTATTGTAATCTGTATGTCTAAAACAGGGTAATAGTTCATAAATATCACACAATTTTAAATGAGAATATTTTCTCTGACAAATTTAATTTACAAATCGGTTGTAAGTAAAAGTTTTTTTTGCATAAAACAGTAAATTCAAAAAGCGAAGACGTGACGCAGTAGCTTAAGCCGACAGTCGCTGGTTTGAGTCACGATTGTGTAAGATACTACTTTTTTTTGTTTCAATGTTAATAATAAAAATACTAGTCCTTTAGTATTTTATATAGTTAGCGTCAGTAACACATATTTAAATAAAAATCCTTTTA